ATTAGGAGTACGGATGAGAATAGAAAGAAATATGGGGTTCCAGATGTAAAGATACTAGAGAGAAAGAAAAGGTGGGGAGGTCTTAACAGTTTTTGAAATATATCAGGGTTCATAATGCAAAATGTCCAGATCTGAGTGGGCCTCTCCTAGTGGGCTTCTTTTTCGACCTGGAATTGAATTCTTGCAGTTGGGCCGGCTTTGTTGTGGGCTGACCAAGCCTTTTTTTCTTTTCTTTCGTTTTTCTCTTTTTCTATAAAAACAGAGATATTGCAAAATTTGCCAAAATCATAGAAAAATCATAAAAATATCAAACCATTTGACCTGGGTTGAATCCTTGTAGCTGGGCCGGCTTTGTTGTGGGCTGGACCAAGCCTATGGAAGCCTTTTTCTTTTTCTTTCGTTTTTCTCTTTTTCTATTAAAACAGAGATATTGCAAAATTCGTCAAAATCATAGAAAAATTATAAAAATGCCAAACCAGTTTTGTGGCACAACTAAATATTTCATGAACCGGAAACTTCACAGATTATTATCTAATGAAATCTATACAAATGTATTTATGTAATTCCTGACGAGAACTGCTGTCTGAAAATTCAAGAGAGGTCTCAATCACTGGTGGACAGACAAATCATTGACACATTGACAAAAAAAATTACGGACGTTGATATGATGCATCAAAAAAGCTACAAAAGTTGATATTGAGTCATAGAAACACATGAGTATTATGAAAAATTAAAGTTATGATATACTTATAGCTAAATAATTATGTGCTTTGCAATGAAAGGAAAAATATACCAAGGTGTATTTCAATTTGATACAGGTTTAGTAAGACATTGTTATTTATTGTTAACATTTACTTATATTATGGATGTCACGGTCATCATAAAATAAATTATAAAAGGATAAAACATAAGTAGATATGTACCATTCACGTCATCGTTTTGCATAAATGCTTGATAGTTTTTTTTTCTCCCGTTGTAACGCACGTGCATATTTACTAGTAAAAAAAATTAGAGAACAAATCTGTATTTGTACACGAAAATTTCTTCCGCCATAAAATTTCTTCGTCCATCTTACCGTATGTTATTGAGTTCGGTAATCTCGCGATTCTCACATCACGGGTTCACGGCACGGGCGGGGTGGCGGTTTTGTTTCCGTGTGTTTTTCAGCGACGACAATGGTTTCCGTCAGGTACGACACTACCTTTTCGATCTTATGTACAGGAGCCAACTATTTGCGATTCTTCAGTCACGGACGAAAGCATCTTTTTTTTTCCTTTTTCCAATTTTCACCATTTTTATGGCCGGAGTCATGAGCCGATGTTCTTCAAAGTAAATGTGTTTTTTCACTTAAAAATCTGGGAGTACAAAATAAAAATAAATATAAATATGAAAAACAAAGTAAAAAAGGACAACAATATAGCCCTTCGAACCATTAGTATGAACCTAAAGGAGGGTTCATACTTCACACCACTATTGCATTTCTAATTCGAAACAAAACCATCAATCATATTTGAACTTTCTTCAGTCGACGGATCAAACAGTAAATATACTCTCATTGAGGGACACAACGATGGAAAGTCAAGATAGATCCCCTCGTAATCATCTACGGACAAACTAATCCTAACATGTCGGCCAAACTCCTAGCTGACTTATATGGAAGATTAGAATTACAATGTGAGAAGAGACAGGGAGAGTATTTCATGTTTTTCTTGCTTTCAAAACTTTGTTTTTCTCGATGTAACGCATGGCATATTTACTACTATGCAACAAATCAATCTGCATGCATGGCAGGTGCAAATGACGAGCGTGACGCGGCTGTGCGGCACGAAGAGCATCGTGACGGTCAACGGGCAGTACCCGGGGCCGACGCTGTTGGCGCGGGAGGGCGACCACGTGGAGGTCAACGTGGTCAACCGCTCCCCCTACAACATGAGCATCCACTGGCACGGCGTGCGGCAGCTGCTGAGCGGGTGGGCGGACGGGCCCTCCTACATCACGCAGTGCCCGATCCAGCCGGGCCAGAGCTACGTGTACCGGTACCAGATCGTCGGGCAGCGCGGCACGCTGTGGTGGCACGCGCACATCTCCTGGCTCCGCGCCACCGTCTACGGGCCCATCGTCCTCCTGCCCCCCGCCGGCGTGCCGTACCCGTTCCCGGCGCCGGACGAGGAGGTGCCCGTCATGTTCGGCGAGTGGTGGAGGAACGACACGGAGGCGGTGATCGCGCAGGCGCTGCAGACCGGCGGCGGACCCAACGTCTCCGACGCGTACACCATTAACGGACTCACGGGACCTCTCTACAACTGCTCCGCCGCTCAAGGTCGTCGATCAATGACCTCTCTTTACAGCAGCACTATATTGCGAGCATACGTACGTGTTGTGCTTAACAATGTTCTGTATCATATATACATCAGATACGTTCAAGCTGAAGGTGAAGCCCGGCAAGACGTACATGCTCCGGCTCATCAACGCCGCACTCAACGACGAGCTCTTCTTCTCCGTCGCCAACCACACGCTCACCGTCGTCGATGTCGACGCGCTCTACGTCAAGCCCTTCACCGTGGACACCCTCGTCATCGCGCCGGGGCAGACCAGCAACGTCCTGCTCGCCACCAAGCCGACATACCCCGGCGCGAGCTACTACATGGAGGCGCGGCCGTACACCAACACGCAGGGCACGTTCGACAACACCACCGTCGCCGGCGTCCTCGAGTACGAGGACCCTTCTTCGTCCCCATCCCAGAACAACAACGACCTCCCGGTCTTCGCGCCGACCCTGCCGCCGATCAACGACACCAGCTTCGTGGCCAACTACACCGCGAAGCTCCGCAGCCTGGCGAGCGCGGAGTACCCGGCCGCCGTGCCGCGGGACATCGACCGGCGCTTCTTCTTCACCGTGGGGCTCGGCACGCACCCGTGCGCCGGCGCCAACGGGACCAGCTGCCAGGGCCCCAACGGGTCCCGGTTTGCGGCGTCCATCAACAACGTCTCGTTCGTGCTGCCCACGACGGCGCTGCTGCAGGCGCACTTCGCCGGCAGGTCCAACGGCGTCTACGCCACCAACTTCCCGGCCTTCCCGCTGACGCTGTTCAACTACACCGGCACGCCGCCCAACAACACCAACGTGACGAACGGGACGAAGGTGGCCGTGCTGCCGTTCGGCACCACCGTGGAGCTGGTGCTGCAGGACACCAGCATCCTCGGCGCGGAGAGCCACCCGCTGCACCTGCACGGCTTCAACTTCTTCGTCGTCGGCCAGGGGTTCGGCAACTTCGACCCGGCCAACGACCCGGGCAAGTTCAACCTCGTCGACCCCGTGGAGCGCAACACCGTCGGCGTGCCCGCCGGCGGCTGGGTCGCCATCCGCTTTCGTGCGGACAACCCAGGTTTAATTATTTGCACTGGAATAATCCTAGCATTATTTCCGAGGCCCCAAGTCCTAACTCGAACGCACTACTGGCGTACGTGCAGGTGTGTGGTTCATGCATTGTCACCTGGAGGTGCACATGAGCTGGGGCCTGAAAATGGCATGGTTGGTGCTGGACGGGAGCCTGCCGAACCAGAAGCTGCCGCCTCCGCCATTGGATCTGCCTCAGTGCTAGGCCAATGTTGATTTCCTCAGTTCCACTGCATTATTTCCCGTCATCAATGCGCTGCTTCGTTTGCTCGATCAGTTGCCGTTTTGGTATTCTATATACCTCGATCGTCTTCAGCTTACGTCGCGATAATGTCTTTCCTAGTTGATGTGATTTTTTTGGCTAATGGATTATTCCTGATTGTTCAAGTGGCCATGGTTTCTGTGGCAATAGTACTATGAGAAATTGCTTCGTTCGGCGGAACTTCACTCTTACGATGAGTGCATGCTTCTTGTAATCTTCCGTGTAGCTCAAAGCTTGCCTGTAGCTTTTTGTGTCAAATTGTGTGTGTGTGTGTGTGGGTGGGTGCATGTAACCTTGCGCTTGCCCCGGTGTAACTAATAAAAAGTGTAATGTGACTGATTTCTCTGAATTAAGATAAAGTGTGTGTACTGGGTCATCTTTTTCACAGTTTGGCTTAAGAGACTTGACTCACGCACTACCCACCCAATCAACCTGATCCGATATTGTAAAAAGCTCCACCCCGACCTGACCCACCCTGTAGGCCTCAGGCTGTGAAAACGACAAATTCAAGCAGCTGCACTGCCCTGTTCGTTTATCTTATAATCCTTACATTTCAGCTTGTTTTTTCAGCCGGAACAGTGTTTTTCTCTCGCAACAAATCAGCCGGAATAGTATTTCGGTTTGTTTTTTCAGCGAAGCAAAAGCATAAGCTCACCTTATTGATGGCTACAAAGTTATATACTCCAAGAAACTACCCGGTATTAGCTCCAGTTAGCCCGGTTTGGCATCACGCTAACGCTACTGGCGGGAAACAGGCATAACAGAAATATGATGCACATTGATGAACCAATTATGTATATCCCCTAGATTTATAATTATTTATAAAAAATCTTCAGGCATGGTAACTTCATTTCATCATTGCTAAGAGTAACAAATAAGTTGTACAAAAAACACTCTCCGGAGGCAACACATAATTATTTTAGTTTTTCATCTGTAAGTTCCTGAAGCTATGATTTTCCTTTGTACACATTGTGCACCTTCTAATACTGAATTAGTAACTGTGAATCCACATGATGTAACTATCAAAATGCATCCTATATATGTATAAAGAAAAGTATATTAGGGTAAGACTAAGAGACGCCTTTGTACAGTGGCTGGGTGGATCAGTCCAACCGCAAAAGATTCTGTTTCTCCAGGTGATGCTTCTTGTTGTATTTAGGAACATTCGTCAGTTTAGGCTGCCAGTTGTTTCTGCAAGACAGAGAGAAAATTAGGCTGCCAGTTGCCCACCTCAGCAACAAGTCTCATGATCAAGGCGTTTCAAGGACCAAGGCATTTCAAGGACCTTGCATATATAATGTGGAGTAAAATCTAGGTATAATTGATAGAATTCCATAAGAGTTAGATAATACCTGGAGGCTGTAGAATTAAATACTTGATTGTATGTGCAGATTCCTTGGCCAAAGTTTCCAAGCCAATCATATGCTCCTTCATTTTCTTTTCTTGCATGCTTGAAACATCTGAGTGGGAATTGGTGCATTCGGTATTCCAGGAAACAGACTTCTTCATATTATCAGGAGTATCACAATTGTCCATCCCATCTGATGAAAAATCTAGATGCTTCTTCTCAACAGTTTTCAAGATAGCCAACCTTTTTGACCTTAGTCGATATGGAGGGGAAACATCAAAACTCCCTAAAGCAGCAGATAACCCTTCGTCATCTGGAGGACCCAAGGACAAAAATGTTGCAGTCTTGAACGAATGCGAGCTTTCTGCGGTGCACTTTTCCAAGGGAGTATGAAAACCATCACTGTTTAATATATTGGTCTTCAAATTACTATCTTGAGCATGTGATGGTTTCTCCCTTTTTCTTCGCCTTAAAATTGAAGGAGTACCTGGAAAACTTTCAGCTGCACTCTTCAATATTGATTCAACACTTAGCTGGTCTGATATTTCTCCATCCACAGGGGAGGTACTATAGTCAACGGGTGATTGATATCCATCCCCACAGCCTTCCAATACGTGATGTGTAGAAAAAATAGGGGAATGAGAAGGGACAATATCTTCTAGCTTAGGTATCTCATAACAAAGAGAACCAAAAGAATTAGACTCATTCGGCAAGGATAATCCACAAACATTGTTGGCTGTTTTGCCTCCTGCCCTAGCTGATCCTGAATACACCATTGTATCTGTTACACTATCAAGCATCACTGCATCCACATTGAGCGGATCTTCAGGATGATCCTTGCAAAAAAAATCTATTTCTGTGCCCTTATCATGAACAGAATCCATTTTCAGCCCTTGCATTGCTAAAGCAACAGCAGAATAATTAGCTTCTAATGCCTCACACAGAATTTCTGGTTGAGCTGTTGGCATAGAAAGAGAGAGGAAATCTGAATAGCTCTTGATATTTTTCAAATTGGAAGAGTGCAGATGAGTTGTATGTTCAGAATGATCAAAAAATTCTGGGGGGTGTTTGAAATAGATATTGGGCTCCTTGTTCAAGTCAATATGGTTCCCAGAAGTTGGCAGCTTTGCATTTGCATGCTTCAAAGTATTACGAACCATACGCACAGAAACTGGTGCAGTGCTGCTGGCATTGTAGTCACCTAGCCTTTTTCTTAATGAACTATTCCAATGGTTTTTAATGGAGTTATCTGTCCTGGAGACAAGAACAAACTTACATCATAACAGGCTGAAAGTATAAGCAGTTGCTTAATTCAATGAGATAATTTATGGTGGCGAAAGAATGCAACGAATAGAAAATTAGAAATACATTTCACTATTTTGTTGAGAGTTTCAAATCTAGCAGCAAATCACTAATAGTTTTTGGCAGTCATGTATTACCATACTAGGAGGATGTGAGACGAAGTAAAGTTACTTTCCAACCATTTCAACTTATAAATATAATGTTTTTGGCACTAATAAGCAGATAAGCAGAGGAGCAACGTACTGAACTGCACATCAGATACAAAGATTACAAATGTGTAACTAGATGGCTTTCCATAGACAAGGACTCAAATTCATAATCCTAAAATGAAATATAACTAAATGTTGAAAGTACTGTCCTAAAATTTAAGGTTGGCTATAAAACTCAACTGGTGATAAAAGAGACATCCGGACAATATTCCCACACCTAACATGCACATCAACAGTGGGTAAATACCAAGTAGTCATGTTCAGTAAAAGGTCCTATTATTTCATTACACAGCTGACCAACATTTCTATGGAGCTAAAACATGAAGTCTTCATGACTAGTACAATTCCTGCATTTATATAATGAATAACTGGCCTCTTAAATATAACATGCAAATATTTCAAGTAACATCAAAACCAACATATGGCTAAATCCAAAAAGTAAAAAAAAAATTCTTTCTTGATGAATACATAGGAAGCCATAAGTAAACAAACAAATGTTAAAGAGGATGATATTGTGAAGTAGTACCTTCCAGGAAGAAGTTTCGCAATTTCTGCCCATTTGTTCCCATGCAAACGATGAGCATCAGCAACCACACACTCCTCCTCAACAGTCCATGGCTTCTTATTTATTTGAGGATCCAAATGATTATGCCACCTAAATTATGAGTACCATCAAAAATGAAATGAGATGTCTTTAGGTTCTTTATTCTGGCAAACTTGAAACTTCTTAAGAAACGTGGAAAATACATGGAATCTTGCAATGTTTATAGGTATTCATATTAACTAATATCTCATATTTATTAGTCCCGCAGTCTGGGAATATCAAGCCCACCAAAAGAACTTCAGAAATAAAAGACTGCCAACCATTTTATCATGTTTAATAAGAAAAGATATTTCAATTAAATTGATTAAGAAAGAAATCATACTACGTTCAGCCTTTTCTCCAACCAGAAAAAAAAGGTATACATGACATTTGCATACCAATGGCGCATGATTCTGCAGCTGTGGGAAAATCACAACATCTTTTATTACCTCGATGCAACACTAGGAAATCATGCCTCCAATAGATCCCTTCACCTCATACCTAGTGTATCAAAGTTTATATGGCGCCCATGGTAAACTAAACATAAAGTCCTCTAGGGATGAGACTGAACAGGAGTGGTTCAGCATTGGAGTTTGAGAACCAAAAGACAGGAAGATTTTTATCTAGAACATTTATTCTGATTTGTGAATAGGAGTTGGGCTGTATGTTTCTAATAGAAGCTGAGCTGGCATTCGATATTTTGTGTTCCCCGACAGTTTTTATGTTGATGGTGAAATTTAACAAACTGCTAAGTGACTTGGCCAAATGAAACACGCCACTAAGAAATCTCAGAGAAAAAAACAGATCACTCTGAATTCAAATTTAAAGGAAAAATGGAAATGCAAAATATAAATACAGCATTCCACTAATAATTTGTTTGTATCAACACCCTTGGTACATCATTATATGAATACCTCTCTCGGCATTGTTTGCCAATGCGACCATCTAGTGACCTTGCTATAACGGACCATTTTTGGGGGCCATGCTTCTTTACCATATTGATAATCATATCATCTTCCTGTAAGGATCCAATGATAAATTATTATAATTATAAATACAAAATTTGCAAGCATTCATTTTGTAGGACTGAGATTATGAACTGGACAAACCTCTTGGGTCCAAGGACCTTTTTTAAGTTCAGGATTAAGAACTTTTTGCCATCTATGCAGGCATTGTACCGCTGTTCTATCAGGGAAAGATTGAGCTACATACAGACAACAAATCTGAAGTTAGCTTAATACATTTGTGATTTTTTTCTGCAAGGTTATAAAGAAAGGATGAAACCTACTAGGTACTCAAAGTCTAAGTAGCTCAATTTCATTGTAATGAAGTACACTTGAATGTTGAATCCCCTTCAACATGAGCTCTATCTTGAACATTTAAAACAAGAATATGGGGAGGAAACAGAAATTGAAAATAAATGGAAATGATTTGGGAATGCCTTGTAAATCCACTATGAGTCTATGATACAACACATTCTAGCGAATGTATTCTTAGAAATATGAGTGTGTGGGTGTGTGTTGTAAGGGTTCTTATCCCTTTTTCTTCTTAATATAAAGATACACAGCTCTCCTGCTTGTTCAACTAAAAAATACAACACATTCTAAACAAAGCTAAAGAGTAAAAGGACTTCACTGGAATCGCAGTCACCAGCCCTATTTCTAATGTCCAAGACAGAACTTAATGACATTATCTTGAGAATCATTTTTATTTAAGGATTCCTACTTATCCACTTTTGTTCCCTTCAAGGCTTCAAACCCTTCAAATTAAAATTTGAGGCTACCTCAAGTACTGCTGCAATAATGAACTCAGTCTATGTATCCAGTATGCACACATATGAGCGGATTGACAACTAACTTCAGAGGAAAAACAAGTTGAGGACTTTCTACCCCGAAACACAAATAATAATGCCAGAAATTTCTGCACCCAATAAGTAGAAAAACTTTGTGACACAAGAATTGTATGCATAAGAAAATAAATTCATGGTTACTAGTTTTCTCAGAATTGACTGTTGAAATACACAGGGATGCAGAGCATAAAGGAGAAAGCAAACCTATCTTCTTCCAATTTTTTCCCTCACAAGCATAAACTGCATTCCGCAATGTTTCATCCTGCAGCCACACAAAAAAGGCTATAAGCAAAGAGTTGAGCATTTGTGCTGAAAACCAAGATTGAAAATCAAGCATTAGTGCAGAATTAGTGGCCTACCGTGATGGGGCAACGGATGCAATAGTGACGCAAAGTAATGTAAAATGCAAGTATAAGAAAGGTTGAGTATTTTTTTTTTCTTATGCAAAAAAAAGGAAAAAGGATGGTTAATTGTAACTGGAAATATAGATACATGAGATGGAACTCTATTGAACATACACTGAATTAACTCAAAATGACGTAGAAATGAGTTCAGAGAACATTATGTACCTCTTCTAATGTCCAGCCACCCTTAGCTCTCCTTACAGGGCCACTTGTTCGCCTGACATGTAGGATTTGGTCAGTAACATTAAAATAAGATATAAACATTCATGTAATGAGAAACTAACTAGGATCGAGCACAAAAAAGGACAAGTTACAATGGATAGACTGCCTATTGTAAAAAGCAACATCTATGGCCCTGTTCGGCAGGACTGAAAAATACTGTTCCGGCTGATTGTTGTGAGAGAAAAATACTGTTCTGGCAGGACGTGAATAGTGATTCTGTGAGAGGAAAAATAAGCCAGCTGGCTGGAAACAAGCCAGCCGAACAGGGCCTATGACAGCACAGCCAAGAAACCAATTCTAGTAACCTGGGTTTCTCAGCCATTATTCAAGTAATCAAGTATCAGCTTCAACTTATCTTTTCTTTCAACAAGTAGCTTACAATCATTAAATGATTTATCAGGATTTAAAACATGAGGAAATCTTTAAAACAACTTAATATTTGTTGAAACGATGAACATTTGCTTGTGGGGAGTTCGTGGTTAGTATGATAAACATGTTCTCTTCGAAAAAAGTGGTTTGTTGAAAGTTGCGGAGTCCGTGTTATAAAATAAGTGTGGACCTCAAAATGGGCAAAAACTATTAATTATTGAATTACTGTCAGTGTATCTCCCTGGTCAACCATTATTTTTAACTCCACACATTTGGCCTAAATATCAATAAATTACCTCAAAAGTACTTTTTTTAAACATTTATTCCTACATAGTCATCTTGAGAGCCATTACTAACATCACCACATCAGAGCAAGGGAAGCCAAAAGATATAGCACTCCTAGTTTCCTATACGACTGGGGTGCAATCATCAGCTATAGAAATATGTAAAACTTACAGAACATAAACACTAGTAAAATTAGTCAACAACTATTTATTTATCTAAAGATGCAGAACTCCATGATATCAAATTTGTATAAACTACTATTGATGGGAAAAACGAAGAATGAGTCTACATACTTTTGCAAAGTTTAGCCAGAAACATCATGAACACTATATTAAAGTTAAACAATGAATAACTGCTTTCTCCATCGCAAATCGTCATAATGTAAACAAAAGGAACAATTTATCTACATATTGAATATGATAGCCTTTGCAAAAGTTATTCAACAAAGAATTCGATAAACAAATTGCTCAGACTATGATGTATCACCCATTCACCACACCACCTTCATAACCAACAGAAATCGCCATTCTCTCCGATGTTAAAACCATTGCAAAGTACCTTCAACATGCCTCTGGCAAGAAAAATAACTGCAGTTCCTAAAGTTGAGAAATGTACAAATCAACGAAATCTTTCAATGAACCAACAAAAGAATGGCAGAAGGGAAGCACCGCATATCCACAAAATGGACAACTAGAAATGTCATTACTTGTGTCCTTTCCAAACAACTACGACCCTGAACCTCAAAAATATAACGTCCAAACCAAATGAATCCACTGTGCATCACAATTCCTAATAACAGAACAGATATGTCACATAATCTTACAAATATAACAAATACACTCACATTTGAAACCTGTCATTTTAGATCCACTAAAACCTCGATAATATATAGCATTTAAGAAATTAGTTTTTCTACAAAATCAATATCAGTACACCACACAATGACATAAAGTTTCAGTCAAAAAAGACTCAACTCGCAAGACCATGTGTTTCTCGACATTACAAGAACATGACAGCTCGAAGCAACTTACAGCTTCTAGCTTCAACAACACTATGGGCGTGTTCGGCTGGCTTAAAGCCAGCCGGCTGGCTTGTTTTTCCTCTCACAGAATCACTGTTTACGTCCTGCCAGAACAGTATTTTTCTCTCACAACAATCAGCCAGAACAGTATTTTTCAGTCCTGCCGAACAGGCCCTATGCTACCTGCAAAAGCTCACGCCTTTGTTGTCCCAACAGTCAACGCAGGGCGCCAGAGTAAGGTTTACTGACATCCGAAAGGCAACGACATGTTCTCGAGAATAAAACTACCAGGCGAACCGCACCAGCTAACTTGACAAACTATTAGAAACACCACTTTTCCAAGACAAATGAAAATCACATCCAATCCATGATCCGATGAACTAAGCACACAAGCGTCCGGATGAAGTAAGCAACCACTAGAACACAGCAGCAGAGTCTCAATTCTCGAACGGTTCACAGCGGCGGAGAGTACTACCTGCGACCGGAGACTGAATCCGCCGGGCTGAACACCACCGGCGACATCCCCGCGCCGGCTCCATAGTTTGTTGCGTCTGAAGCTGACGGCAAAGGGCTCGACGCCGCCAGATTGGGCCAGTTCCACGCGCTCCCCTCGTCCTCCTCCACTTTCACCGCCGCCATGGCGACCATCTACCGCCGCAACTACCTCATCACCACCGTAGCCACCTAAAACCACATAGAAATGGGGAACAAACAAAACTTCAGTTAAAATTCCCCAGAAACGCTTGAAAAGGCGGAATCAAAGGGGCGCCGATGCTTTACAAACCGCAAAACCCCTAGATCGGGAAATCAGGGAGGATCGAGCCGGAGAAGGAGATGGCGCGAAGAGAGCGCGAAGGGACGCAAGGCGGGGAGGGCGGCCCGAAACCCTAGGCTGGAAAAAAACGCGACCGTTTTGCCGGGCACCGCGTCGCGGGCGGCTTCAGTTGTGTGTTGGGGGAGAGGACGAGCCAGGGAAGGGGAAGATAGGAAAGGAGGCGGCTTTCAAAAAACCTCGCCCGTTGAGCAAAAGTGCGAGGAATCAATTACATCTAATAATGTTTGCACTTAACTCCCCTGAATCTTTTAGTATTTGATCTAGACTCTTGTGTAACTGAATTTACCAACTTCCATTGTTGTCGACCTTTAAACGTGTCGAGAAGTTGAAGAATCATGGCATGGCATGCATCAATTTCTTAAGCTGCACATTGCGTTATAGATTGTACTTCTTTGCGTCATTTTGACATGAAACTATGGTTGTGTTGAATAGCACCTATATCATTCTCTAGTTTCTAAAATCGCTACCGACATGGCATCTGGGTTATCTTTTTCGAAGGGCATCGTTAACGGTATGAGATAGTTATTGGATGTAAGATGATATTTTTAATAATATTAACTTTTAGCACACAACTCATAATACAAATAGTGTCACATGGCAACTTCACATGATACTGGAGTGTATGCATGAGACTAACTCTTGATTAAGAGAGTTTTTCCTCTCTTTTCTATTAAAATATGAAATAATATGCTTAGAGCTAGCTCATAAATCACCACAATAGTAGCGCTACTATTCAATGAGAATAAATGTAGTTTGTAGGTAGGAGTATAATTGAAGTATATGTCCTTTTGATATCTATTAAAGTTAACCTTAAGTGCTCTAGAATTGTTAGATGATATTTTCTAGTATTAAATACTTAAAAGAAGTTATTGTAAACAAGTTCATCAATGGGACGGGAGTATGCTTGGGATCCAAATGGAAGAAAGCCCCACATGCGGTGTGAATCACATGTTCTACTTCTACCTAGTTATCGGTGATTATACACATGTAGTATATTCATACTAGTGAAAAATACAAATTAATCATCGCTTGCAAAAAAAAAAAGAGAAATTTGCCCAATGTAACAAGAAATTGTTTCTCTCTTTCCAAAATAAGACGGAAACTGGTGAAACCAGTTTCAACTCCTTTGGCTGTGTTGTAAGCCGAAGCTAGAAGAGGCCTTTCCAAACTCTAGAGTGACGAGGCTTGTCGCTCTGTTCGCTTGGCTTATAAGCCGTATTTTTTCAGTCAACGAATAATATTTTTCTCTCACAACAAATCAGCCAACGGTACTTTCAGTCATGGCTTATCAGCCAAGCGAACAGGGCTACATGTGTTTGTGGCTGGTCCCAAATGAAGGACAACATTGCGATTAACAATCTTTCTAGAGGTGTAGAAACAAGATCAGACGAAGTGAAACACGATCCAGGAACTGAAGGCACCCACCAAACGTGGAAAGCGACGGCGGAATTTTAGGGTGTGCCGCTGGTGCCTTCGGTGCAAAAGTGCCTTCGACGCGTGGAGTAGTGGCGTGGACCCCCCAAGCCGGCAGTTGCCGTAGCGGGCACGAGGTTTTGAACCAAGCCCGTAACGGCTCCTGGTCCGTCCGATCGATCGATGGAAGCGTACGGCGGCGTCGGCCGTCGCGTCGCGCCGCCGGAGCCGCCTGGAGTCTCGCGCTTGCCGCCACGCCACCCGGTGCCTCGGTCTGGTCTGGTCTTCTTGCGTTCTACACCTCGGTGGGTCTTCTTGCGCTATATACCACGGGGTTGCCTGCCAAGGTCAGTCAACTGCTGTGCGGCTGCGTTCCGTTGGTTGTCTACGGTGACGCCGGATGCTGACGTCGAGCGTACCGAGGTTTTGTTCGGATCTTGATTAGAAGTTGTTTGACTTTGACAAACCGTAGTGTATATAGACTGTATATAGTACGTATCTAAAGTATGGCCAAATTAAAGTTGTCAGTTTGTCACAGAGTTTGTTCGAATCGTAAAGGACGAATGAACGAGACACTCATATGTACTAATCTCAGTGGCATTCCTGGTCCAGTAGTCCTCAGCTCGCTGGGCTGGGGCTGGCCATCCCTCTCATATGGCTACTATTTACGTAAACCAGCTAGCAGTACTTTTCTCTCATATAAACGAACCAGCAACGATACGAACCAGCCAACCGAATAGGCCGTCTAACTCCTGTAACATGTAAAGGGCATGTTCGTCTGGAGGAATTCTGGACGAATTTAGATAGTTTGGAGGAATGCTGGAGGAATTTGTAAGAGAAAAATACTGTTCCGGATGAAAAAAAAAAGTGAATCGAGCCAGGTTTAAGAGCACGCGAATGAAGTCTTACCAGCTCGAACTGCATATATGCATTCATGCATTAGAATTTTAGGATAATCTTGCCATCAATAACCAGAAGTATCGTGAGATAACTCTTGTAGTCTTGCGACAACCAAACAGGTCGAGCATATGTATCACCAACTATTTCTATATATTTATCAGCCTACCTTATCAGATATGGTACAATATTTTTCTCTCATAGCAAAACAGTATCAGTCGGCTTATCAATCACAAAACCATCAACCGAACAGCTTGATCAGTTGGTTAGGTTTCTTGTGGTGGAATCAGCCCACCCGATTTCAAGTCCTCGACTTGATACGGGTGCTCATATTTTTCTAGATTTATTCCAGGATTTTACGACGCAATGCTTTCAGTGGTAGGCGACGGCTCTGTTCGCTTGAGCTTATAAGCCAGAATCAGCCATACTTTTTTAGACATGGAACTGTATTTTTCTCTCACAACAAATCAACCCTATAAATCAGCCGCGGCAGCAATAACTCCTGCCGAACAGAGCCGACGTCTCCGTCGACAGCGAGGTGTCAATGGTGACTTCGTGAATCTCGAGATTTGCCGGTTTAGTCCTTCGGAGGTGCTCCTAGGGATAGGATTTATGTACTTGTGTTCATAGGGGTGAGTGTACGCGCATGTTTGTGGACGTCTGTGTTATAATGTGTAATTTTTTTTAAAAATCATCCTCCGGGAATGCTCTAAATGTGTTTCTTATGTTACTCGATACGTACCCGTTCAAAAGGATGAACAAACTCGGCATACACTCTTTTGTTACAAGCACGATCGAAGCATTGTCGCGTGTCGCGACACTACTCTTGAAAATAAAAGAGACGTTTTCTCCTATGCCACTGTCAAGCCTCAAACTATGCATTTTACTGTGTTTGTATCGATATGAGCTCCCGTTTTAAATTATAGGTGCCTTTATCTTTGTCTTTAAGTCAAAGTCCTCTATTTAAAAAAAAAGTTGTTTAGAAAAAAATATTTCACCTATAAATTCAAATGAGTGCACAAGGCACATCCAATGAAGAGTTTAATGAAACTAGTGAGATGTTGTAGACGATGATATGATTCCTGCTTTGTATGGGAGTATAATGTGCTTAACTGAAACGTTCCATCGGGATTTTTAATTTTTCTGTTATAAATACGAATGGGCTTGTCCGCGCACGGGCCGGCCTGTGATGCCGCAGTGGCTGGTCAGGGCCGAAAGGGCCATCGCCGAGCGCGGCATGCTGAGGATATCTCCAACGAAAAAAAAAAATACAACACTCATTCGTCCTTTGAAAACGCTACAGGTAAAAGATTCAATACCTATTTGATATTTTCTCCAACAACAAAATGCAAAGGAGAATCATTTCTGTAAATGGGTTTTCAAGAGATAGGATGCTCATATTTAGATTGTGCCTCTTAGATAATCTAAAATAGATCTCTCGTATAGGTAATCTGTTGAAGGTTAATTTTGAGTTTTCTACTGTCTATTTTAGGTTTGGGTGTATGCTCGTTGGAGACAGTCTGACTCGGTGAGTTTTGGGTCGTTGTGGTCGGCTGCCAATGCCCAGCGCAGCCGTGTCGTTGTGAACTGTGACCCGAATGGCGAGGGGTCTTTCTTCGACTCTTCGGGCGCGAGCCCCAGACTCTCCGGTCTCCCCCTGCATTCTCGCTCGGTCGCTCCTGGCTCCTGGGTCCGAGTCTGGCGCCAGCAACGCAATGCTGCGTCGGCTCATGCTCATCTCACAGAGGGCTCAGTCAGCCAACCAGACGCGGACTCGTGTCAGGATGAGAGCTCGTCTCCTCTCTCCTCGTTCTCCTTTCCCCTCCGGCCCTCCATCAGCAACGTGACATCTGCTCCCAAGGCAAGCAGGGTGGCAATTTCGGTCATGTTGGATGATCAGGTTTCGCTTTAGGATGCAGTGCAGGCGTTCGATGGTATTCCCCTGAGAAGGGACCTGCGTTCGGTCCGGTCTTCAGCTTGGAGGTATGAGCTGCTACAGTCATTGGAGAGTTGCTCCCTTCTAAATCCGATACTACAGCTGTAGAGTCGGAGTGTCTTGCTTGCCTGTAGTAGTTGATTCCTCATCATGCTCATCGGTTGACTTGTATCTGCTTGATTGTGTGGTGCAAACTGCGATACTATCGGTTTGCTAGGATTGTCCCTTGCCTTTAAGAACCAATTCTGGTCATTGGTTTTTTTGCCCACTGTCACGAGTATTTCTGCTGTGAAAGTAACGAGCTTTTAGCCTGATATTTTGTCCAATTAGATTCATGCTTTTCATTTACAGGAAAGACAGTTTGAAGCCAAAATTGCGCTTTGTTATTATTTGCTGAAACAAAGTAACAAAATGCAATTATATAGTGTTTTATTTTCCTTAAAAACTGCTGATTGCTCAAAAATGGACTGCAAAGGAACCATAGCAATATGTCGTTGTCGTGTGAAGCACTGATCCGGTAGCTCCAGATTTTGAACAAATTTACTACTTCTCATTGGTGACAACGATCTGCATTGAGTAACCCGCTTCTTGCACTTCCTTTTAATTTAGTTTTTTGTATAGTACATGCTCACCTAGGTGATTTAAGTGATATCATTTAGAACACTGGATTTCAGTCCAAAACAATTGAAGCGGAAGTACTTTTTGTTCAGGTAACATAATGAGCTTCCTTTACAGAAGTATTGCATCTCGATTCGATGTATTAGTGTACTTGCTGGTGAGTGGTGACCCCTCTTTCTTTTTTTTTTTGGGGGGGGGGGGTATTCTTAGCTTAGAAAGGCACATATGAACTGTATTGGTAGATGTTTTACTTTACATTTGATGCATTTATGTACATGCTGCTGATTGATTTTTTTTCCTTTTATGGCAGCCTCTTTCAGGGGATGTTCATCATCCTTTCTACGGCAATACCTCAGTTCAAGGCCAACTATGTAATGGCTTGACTCTTTATTTGGTGAGCCAACTCTCTCGAGCTTCATTCACAACTTTCTTCCATTCTACTAGTAGACACGTAATTCTGAATTCTGGTTTCAACATCGTGACCATCTGTTCTGGTATCCATAGTTGAGAATAGCCAGTGCACTTTCTGATCATGAGCTTTCTGTTACATTGATTCATTAACGTACACATCAGTGCATATCAATTTAGAGCTTTAGACTAGGGCATTTATATGTTAAGGTTGGTTTGTTGGTTGTTACACTGGAGAAATCATTATCCAGCTGTACCTTTGCGATGTACTTAGCTTAATATCAACCACCAGATGGCCGCTAGTACTTGTGTCTGCTCACTCTTGTGCTTTACTCTCCACTGTAATCCAAGCTGACAGAAAGCAACCATCTGAAACAGCAAGCTTCAAAACAGAGTTGGCAGTAAATTGATGCTTTTATTGTCGGTAATTTTGACCCATGTTCTATGGATTTTTTTATTATTTAGGAATTGATTTGGACATGTAAACCTTTTACCAGGTCCATAAATCTGAATCTGTCCACATATACTAACAAATACTGTAGGCTAATTCTCTTATGTAAAGAAGCCTTAGATACATAATGTGTCAAGAGCAAACATTAAATACAAAATGAAATTGTGTTGGGCCAGCCATAAATTGGTTGTAGATTTGGGAGAGCTTGCTGTACAGTTTCAATATTCACCAAGATCTAATTGTGTTGGGCCAGCCATAAGTTGTTGCGCTGTCGCTGTTGAAGTAATTCCTCAATAAATTCTCTTTTAAGCATAGCAGTCTTCCAAGTGTGGGAACATCCATCTGTGGTGATAGCCTTATATGTCAAGATATTTACCTATTGAGCCTCCGACAGATCGGTGAGATCACTCGCTTTCATAACTGCTGTGACCTGAGAAGTGGAGAGGACAACAAAAGCTAAAGCAATGGCTCACCTGATCTACCGAGACTTCTTGTTGCTGCTGATTGTGTAAGCTGCCGACAGGAACACTGTTTTTTTTTTCCTTACAAGAACAATTGCAACTGTGTGGACAGGTGTGTTTCAAAACTTATCTTGTATAGCCTTTTATTTTTGGATTCTCTCATTGGCAGCTCTAGATCAACCTTATTTGCCTCTTTGTACTTCCTTTGTATTGCTTCGAGAAATTGTTTGGTCATCTTAAACCTAGTCCAAGAACATCTGAAAAGAAATTTTGGAATTAGGCTTACAGGCGTGCACGCCGCGCCAATGGGGTCTCATTATTTCCTTAGCAGAACCTAGAATCATGTGCTACCTTTTGAGCAGGCACAGAGAAGCATCATCTTAGTTGGGTCACAGAGCTACACTACACGAAAAGGAACAGCCGAAACTATATACATATAAGCGTAGAAGTAGACACGCATGCGTGCGTGTACAAAACAAGTGTTAGATCGTTTTATATGCATATATATAAGAATATGGCAAAGATGGGGCGTTGTCAAATGCCAATAATTCCTCACGTTGCCTGACCCACAAACCGGATTACATTACAAAATGGTAAAGCTAAGCTCTTCCTCGATGCCCAAGCAGATGATGGCCCTTGACTCTGACAACACCTTTGTGATATGGTACCAGCAGTCACAGCAGCACAAGGAAGGGGAGGAGTCTCCCTCAAAAAAAAAAAAAAAAAGGAAGGGGGAGGGAGGGAGTCTCCGGGACTCGTCATTACAGCCTTTTCCCCGGGCACCACCCTCCAGCCGAAAGCACGCCATGGCGGAGGAGAAGAAGAGGCACAAGCACAAACACAAGGAGAAGGAGAAGCAGTCGGGCGGCACGGAGCAGGCGGCGCACTTCAAGCCGTGCGCCGACGTGAAGGGCATCCGTTTCGGGGGCCAGTTCATCGTGAAGTCGTTCACGGTGCGGCGGGCGTCGCCCCTGGAGCTGCTGCGGCTGCTGGACATCCCGCCGTCTTACCTGAGCGAGTGCCAGAGCCTGCCGTTCCCGTCCACCACCACCTACATGCCCACCAGCTTCACCATCCTGGCGCACCAGGCGTGGCACACGCTGACGCTGGGCCTGGGCACCAAGAAGTCCAAGGTGGTGCTCTTCGTGTTCGAGTCCGAGAGCATGAAGGCGGCCGTGGACCAGCTGTGGCCCGCCATGATCCCGCTCGGGGACGTGAACAAGAAGCTCATCCGTGGGCTCACGGGCAGCGAGATGGCGCGGTTCAAGTTCCGGAAGGGCTGCCTCACCATCTACGTCTACGCCGTGCGGCGGCTCGGCGCGGCCGGGTTCATGCGCACCGATGACCTCAGGCGGATACTGCAGTCGGTCGTGGAGCTCAAGGACTTCCTGGACCACACCGCCATGCTCGCCATCCCGAGCCAGAAGAGCATCACTCTGCAGTCGCGGACAGCGGTGGCTCACTGAGATCACAGGGCTGAGGGCATCTCCTTCCTCTGATCTGATGACGCCACAAGAACCTCGATCGGTTCAGCATCGCAGAACAGATACGGTCGGCTTGTAGTTGTAATCTTCAGAGGGCCTCATTTATTTTCCTCCTCTCGGTTTGATTCGTTGGTTCAGTGTCGGTGCAAGTGTTCACCTCCTCTGCTGGGAGCAGCTGTATAGATCTGTTGAGCAAAAAGTGTTTCAGCAAATCAAGCATAGGTTTTTTCCCCCTTTGTTTTGTCCCAAAGGCAATTTTCCTTGAATGGATCTTACTTACATGTTGGTATACTGGTGTAGTCTTGTCCCCTGAAATAATCCATCAATGAAGAAGCCATTTGTTCTAGTGGCACTTTCTGGAGGGCAGCACTTGCTGCTGACTGCTGTAGGTAGCTACGGTACAGTACAGTGTTTGGAAATTTTTGTGCTCCTACTCCTACCGTGCCTTTCCTCTCTACTTCTCTAGTACACTCATTGTTCCACAGCATTGAGTGGTCCAACCCAACCTCGTGAATTTCAATTTCCTAGTAAATGGATTGGTGGTCAATGGAGATCATTTCAAAAGACTTGGTTTGATAAATTTGATTGGCTAGAATATAGTGAGTCCAAGGATGCAGTTTTTTACTTATATTGTTATCTCTTCTTTAATTCGGGAAAGCTTGAAAATTTTAGGAGTTCTGTCTTTGCGCATCAAGGTTATGTGAATTAGAAAAAAGCTAAGGATACTTTGAGTAAGCACAGTGCTTGCAAGATTCATGTAGAGGCTAGGCTGAAGTGTGATGACTTTATGAACCAAAGGACAAGTGTGGGTCGAAAATTAGTTGAGGTAAGCACGGAGGAAGAAAAACGATATGAGAATCATTTGACATCTTCTTTAGATGTTGCAAGATTTCTCATATCACAAGGGCAACCTTTTCGTGGAGATGATGAGAGTTCTACTTCCCTCAACAAGGGTACATTCAGAGAGATGGTTGATCGGTATAAAGATAAGCTTGAGATTGTGAGATTATGACTGGAAGAGGTTTAAATCAAGAAAGCAGCCTAGCTAGGCCTGGAGATACTAGATGGGGTTCACATCTTAAAACTTTGCTTCACATTTTGGTCATGTGGGAAGCTATCATAGATGTCCTTGAGATAGTGAAGAAAGATTCTATTAAACCAACGTGTAATGGTGGAGCTTTAGGTTTAATTGAAAAAATGGAGAGCTTTGATTTTGTGTTCATCCTGCATTTGATGATAGAATTGTTGAGCATGACAGATATTTTGTCATATGCTTTGCAAAGGAAGGATCAAGACATAGTTGAAGCAATGCATTTGATCACGGATGTGAAAGATAGCTTACAGGATATGAGGGAAAATGGATGGGAGCCATCACTCAAAAAGTGAAAATATTCTGTGAGAAGAATGAGATTGAAGTGCCAGATATGGGTAAGGAAATAAATGTTAGAGGGACATCTAGACGAAGAAAGCAAAATGTAACAAACATGCATTACTATCATGTTGAGATTTTTCTTGTCGCCGTTGATGTCATCTTGACTGAGTTGAATCATCGGTTTAGTGAAATTAGTTCAGAGTTATTAGTATGTATCTGCTTTTAACCCAAGGAACTCCTCTAATTTTGATATGGACAAACTTGTGAGGCTTGCTGAAATTTATGCTGAGGATTTTGATATTGGTGAACTTGCTGTTTTGCCAAATCAACTTAGACAGTTTGTGAACCGTGCTAGAAGAACTCCATAATTTCTTGGATGCACCGAACTTGGAAAAGTTGCTGAAATTATGGTGAAGACTAAAATGCACGAATCTTATAAATTGGTTTATCGTCTCATTGAGCTAACCTTGATACTACCGGTGGCAACGGCTTCAGTTGAGAGGATATTTTCAGCCATGTCTATTATAAAGACAGATTTGCGTAGTAAAATGGGTGATGACTGGCTTAATGACTTGATGATATGCTATAATGAGAAGGAGATATTTAGAAAGATTGATAATGAAAAGATCAAAAAGCGGTTTCCAGATATGAAAAAGCGTCGTATGTTATTGCTTAAAAAATTAGTGGTATGCTCTATTCTCTTCTAAATTCATAATTTGGAGGTCCATATATGTTTGACTAATCAATTATGTCTATTTGTGTAGATTGCTACTTCGGATGAATAATGTGTGTCAACGTCAAACGCCGTCTATTAGTTTCGTAATTTGGCCTTTCGGTATGAATGGACTGCTTCCTTTATTTTTCATGATGTATTTTGTGAATTTCATCGTTAACCAATGTTTTTAATATAAGACTACTTCTGGCTATCATATTTGTCTATTGTGAGGGGTTATAGTAGAGCTAAGTCGTTGTAGCACTTTTGTTGAGCCTCTCCTAAATTTTTTCGTGGCTTCGTCCCTGCTCTCTAGTACACTCATTGTTCCACAGCATTGTGAACTCCTTTTGTTTTTGGAATTTGGTACTAGAATTGCACCCAATTGCGTACTCTATTGCACAGCTGGTTTCTCAGGGTTACTGTTGCTTGTTAGGATTGCCAAATGGAGCTGTCAGTGTTCACTTCGAAAAAGGAAATGGAGCTGCCAGAGGAGGAAGGTGAATCCTACAGGATCTAAGAGAAACTGAGAAAGTGAGTGCTACTAGCTCTCTCTTTTGTGAGGAGCTCTTATCTTTTTATGTGGGAGTAGCCATCTTGTAATGTAACACTGGTAGAAAGAGATGTATATATGCTATATTTTGACCTGTTTGGAGGGGTGACATTTGCTCCATCCTCCCCTGGAGCTGAAAATTTTGACCGAGAGAGCCCAGCCCCGATAGAAATAGGCCCGGCGGGACAGATGCTGCGGGTGCTGTCGCCATGATCATGCGAGAGGTAAAGTTCGTTGGGCAGGACACTCGATTCAGTGACGTGCGTGATGATGACTGGTTGAGCGGCATGGCATGGCATGGGCCACCACCCACTACGCCCGCCCCCTAAATCATGAGCAGCAAAGCCGTCTCCGGGTCGCCCGGTGCGAAAGGACGGTGCAGTCCCTACTGCAAACCTGCTTCTCGGATCATCGCTTTTTAGTAGTCCTTGACTCCTTTGGATCCCCTGCTTTGGTGTAATGAAGCACCAAGATTGTACTGCTAAATCATTTGCTTGCTGCAACTTGCACCCAAGCTTATCGAAGCTCAAGTGTAGCCAAATAACAGGATTCCGCACCGTTTCTACTCAATCCGTGAAAAAAGAACCGAATCATACCAAACAGGACCTGGACATGCAGGAAGCGTTTATTTACGTGTTCAAGTCGTTGTACCAGGCTTGTTGGGTGCGAATTGAAGAGATGAGTCGTACATTTTCAGTAAAATAATAGTATTTTTCTCTCACAATAAATCAATATCAGCATCAGCCGTTTTTTCAGCGAGCCGAACAGGGCCGATACAAATGGACGTGTCCTTATCTAAACATCTGATACGGATCGAGATCATAGTCCTCCAGCGAGAGCGACGCAGCTAAACATCTCACATCATGACAGCATCACAATTTGGCAGCTCCTGTATAATTGTAGCCGAGCGGTAGCTAGCAGCTGGCTGATGGGGTGCGTTGGCAGCGTTGCGAGGTTTGGTATTTGCCGAGCCATCCCTCCCCGGCCGGCATGCCCAGCTAATTTCTGGCGCACCGGGTTTACGCCGGAAAAGCCGAGCGAGGGGGGAGTGGGGACACCGGACACCAACCTGATTGACTCTCGGTCCCGGCCGCGTGCGCTCGATCATCGTCTTCCAAACCGTCGCGATGGGAGAGGGAGGGCTTCAATTCAATCATGTCCCGCCGACCGGGCAAGGAAAGCAGATCGAGACGTATTTATGCGCTCATGTGGCGGTGCATGGGCAACCGCCTGCCGGCCTTGGCTGGCTGGCGGCCTGGCGCGTCGCGAGCGAGCCCACGGCTGGTGCTGGTGGCACACTGGCACTGGCGCGCGCATGTTCTGGTGCTGGCGACGGGGACTGGGGCTGGTCCTCGTCTTTCGCAGGCGCCCTTCCAATCGCGGAAGACTTTTCTGCCTGCCTCCTTGTTCTGGTGCTGTTTCCGGGGTTGACATTGACAACGAGCTCTGCTACGCTTGGTCTCATGGCCTGGAGCGGGGACGGGTGCCAAAAAAACCTAGTATCATAGCAACGCTGCAGCGGTCCGATCCTGCGGCGCGACGTGGGATTGCCAATTTGCCATGCATCATCTCGGCTGGGTTGTGACTGTGTGAGCACTAGCTACCGTCTGCCTCTCTGCCAGAGGACTGGGAGAGCGCGCTCGTGTCATCCCACTGTACCAGCCTGGCAGCCAAAGCCAATGTCCCTACTCCCAATGGGTTCGCGAGTCGCGACTTCATGAGGGCGATGCATGGTGGAGTCCTGGAGACCCTAGCTGCACAAGAAGGTGATCATGAGGATTGAGGGCTTCTTTTGGTCGACGAGATAACTCTCAGCATAATATTTTGCCCCTTAAACTTGTTTATTTGCTTATTATAAGGGGAATCTATTGAGCCGCGGACGGATATTTCTCAGTATTTAAGTACCGGCATTATACGGGCTGTTCGTCGGATCGTAAACGATCGTAAATTTCCAGCTAGAACAATATTTCTCTCTCACACCAAACCAGCCAGCAGTAATAATCCACGATCGTATACGATCGTATCAGCACCAGCCGAACAGGAGGATCGTTTGTACATCCACGCTTTATTATCAACACAACTTTGGACTCCCTCCTTCGCTTTCACCTTTCGGTTTTCATTTACATGATATGATGAGAACTTGATTGAAATTCCTGGGGCAAAGCTGATTGGCCCTACCATACCCATACTAGTGAAGTCGATGGAAGATTAAAGTTGGTGGGTACCCTACCAACATATAAAGCGCCTAGCTTATATTCACATTAAACTCTCTGAAGCCCAGTGCAAAGTGGGATGCAAGCCTGTAACTGAAGCGGCCTAGCTAGCCAGCTAGGTCACAACAAACG